CTAACACTCACCCAGGCATGGCCTGTGACGAAGGCGCTGGAGTTCATCACAAACTCGTCCAGGGCCCAGTGTTGGCGATTTTCCTCAAAGCCCCCGAACCAGTGAGTGTCCAGCATGTCATAGCAGTCCTCTCCGCTCTCCCTGGACGTGACGTCACCGGCCGATGACCACTCCACCGTCACACAGTCCAGCTCTGACGTCTGTAACAAGAAAATGTGTCGGTGTGATGGTGTTTTTAGTGCACCGGTGTCTGAGGTGTGCTCGTTTAGAGCTTCATCGTCACACACAGATAAAAACCTACGCCCGGATCGCGTCTGGGGAGAATTTATTATTATCGACTCTCTCGGCCTTTCTGATCTTCTGAGAGTTTGTATCCCTCTAAGCCTGGATGGTCCAGGACAGACAGGGTCGAAGCCAGCTTCCTAAAAGTTGTAAATTGTGTCTTTGTGGGTGTATAAAAAAAACAACTAACATTAGACGAAACAGATACTTGACATACAAACATACAAACACACTTGGGTTTTTTTCGGATTAGAAAGGGGGGGGGTCCTCTAAAGTGTTTGAAACTGATCTTCACCAGATGGGAGTTGGAGTCTATTTTGATCTTGCTCAAATATGAAGGAAGGACGACTATAAATGGCGGCATAATATAGTATATGGAAGCTTGTAAACGAAAACGCACTGAAGAAGACGTGAAGTGTTGAAAAGTCAAATAAAAAGATGTAGAGCATGGGCGTCTCAAGCGACCGAAAAGCCTGCAAAATTTCAACAGCTGCACTTGTCTTTTCGTACACACAACGTCTTTTAATCCCTAAAAGTATCAAAACATCAGGAAGAAGAAAAAAAGACCTATGATTCTTGCTTGTAAGGAGGAACAACACAGAAGGTCATACTCTATGCCATCATGCCTTCCACTAATACCATGATGTCTACTGTTTGTCCCAGAGTTGAGTACCGGGATGAGGAGATCAGTCTCAAGGCCAACTCTCTCCCTGTGTCTGGACTTTGAACCTGCAGTAACGTCATACCGCAACATGACCTTAATAGTAATAATAATAATAATAATAGATAGATAGGTAGGTAGCATTTGTATAGCGCAAATCCCCGCTAAACGTCAAGCTTTTAATTTAGTAGAGGTTTTACGGGGCTCACAACTGCATTGGGTAATATGAGAACAAGATTAGAGCTGTTACAAGTGAGTAACATAAAAAAGAAGGGGAGATAAGGACGATAGACGTTTGATAGGAAAGAAGAAGCAAACCAAACCAGAGCACCCGCCAACCACCCACTCGGCAAGCTCTATGCGCTTCACAATCTATACGATTTCCCCAGCAGACCTGAGAGAATACTGAAACAACCTCAACTTCCTGAGAGGCATACAGTGCAAACAACCATTTATAGGCGCTAAAACACTAAACTACTGACGATTTCTTTCGCTGTCTATTGCTGGGTACCCATTCCCACTTGAGTGAAGGGAGGAAAATTCGTGTAAAGTGCCTTTCCCAAGGACACAACGTCAGGCCCGAGGCTAGAACCCCCGAACCCCCAACCCTAGTGACACGAACTGATAACCCACAAACTAGTAAGATAATATTATTATTATCTTTTGAAGGGCACAAGGGGAAAAAAAGGGCTGTCATTTTAGGCTTTTTGAGAAAAGTACAAGATGCTTAAGAGGTCGAATATTTCCATAAAATAGCGTATTGTCCTCGCCAGACATTGGGCGACTGGCCAGGTATTTCCAAAACTAAAAAAATGTTTAACGTGTCCCGCGCCCTTATATGGCCTAAGGCAGTTACGAGCTCTGTAAAACACTTATCCCCCCCCCCCCCCCA